TATATATATATATATTTCTTCTTTTTGGTAGATGTCAAACTATTTGAACCTACTTTGAGAGATGTAAGAATAAGCATTTGACTCTTGGCCATAGAGAGAGCTTGGCCCACAGTCTTCATTAGTAAAAGTTTAAAATGGGATGGTTGGCAAAGAAGCAGCTTTTAAGATATATGGAAACAGTGAAGAGACAGCCATGAATAATTTTGAGTGAACGCATTGGTCATCTATTTTATATACTAAAATCAGGGTTATGTGACGGTTTTTATGGGTTGCTTAGAGACAAGTCGGCCTTAATCCATTTTTGTTATTTATGGGATAAAGTGTTCTGACTCGCCCTCATTTTCATCTGTATAAGTCAGCTTTGGCTTCTGCATTATCAGATGGGGTCAAGGAAGAGAACTGTTTCTCATTTTTCTTGAGCCAAAGTTGTCCTTGAAAAGGAGTCACGGTGGCAATCAGCTCCTGGGTTTGGATGACATAAAATTATTAGGGCCTGGCTGCCTAATGATGAAACGGCTTCCTCAGCCACTGTGACTCATTCCATATGGCTTATTAGGGTTTCTCTTCCTCCTGAAGGTGCACGTGACCCTGCCATGCTCCATGTGCCCAGGAAACCTGATGCACCCTTGGCTTTTCAGAGTGGACAGGGTGCTCAAGGGCCTTCATGCACAAGGCAGGCTGCGACAACCTCAGGCCTTCATGTGTTTGTTGAAAATCCCAATCCCATCCCATCCCATCACAGGGAGGCTTCTCTTTCTGGTTTGTCCATCTTGTTTGCGCTCCCACCGTCTGGTCCTAGGAAACTCCATTTATCCAAACCCTTCCTATTTTTTTCCAGGTTTGAGTTCCATTTCTCGGTCCCTGGAGCTCACTGCTTGTGGTCCAGTTAGGTCTCAACACTGCAGCTCATTCACCTAGCGTCCCAGCTCGCTGACTTCCTATAAAATTCAAAATGGCAGACACCAAGCCACACCGTCCGTATGAATTTGTATTTCGCACATTGTTCTCCTGATGCTGAGGGCCCGTGAGTATTTGTTGTGCGGATAAAGTTCTACATTTTTCCTCCCAAGACTTTCTTCCAGCAGTCTCAGGCACTGTGCTGGGCAGTGAGGAGCCCTGTGGGAGACAGATCCTGGCCGGGATGAAGGCAGTGAAGGCGTAGTTAGCTAAAGAGAGACAAAGGGTGTCATAGGAGCACCGCGCCTGGACCACGGATCCCTCTGTTGGCAAGGGTAGAAGAGCCCCTGGGACTACTGTCTGGGGGTGGTGCCATGCCAGGTGAGTCTGGAGCATGGTAGGAAGGAGGGAGGCTTACCGCACGTTCAATGCAAGCAACTAGAATATGGAGGGAGTGGGTTGCCTCAGCAGGGCTGGGGGGTGACAAGGAGCTCAGCACAGAAGAAAGACAGAGCCAAGACTGACAAGGGAAGGGACTTGAGTCCACCCTGGAGGGGAAAGCAGAGACCAGCCGGCTGCCAGGGAAACTGGTAGGTGCCCTCTGGCCAGGGACCCAACTCTTTCATGAAGTTGTGAGACTTGTCAGAGAGTCAAGAATATGCCCAGGGTGCAAAAGAAGCAAACTGACATGCTTCAGCTCTCCAGGTAAGAGTAAAAATCTTAGAATGAGGGTAATTATAGACCCATTCAGTTGGAATTTTAGGCAATTACTTCAATGACAAGATAACAAAAAACAAAAATCATTTTTCCTTTTGGCTGAGTATGTGAATTAACTTAGTAGGACACCCCTCCCCTTTCTGTCTGGATGTGTTTTTTTTGCACACAGACATAGGAAGAAAGAGAACGGGACCAGGTTGTAGGAGCCTCTCTGATGGACTGCACAGGGCAGGTGACTCCATTTTTTTTTTTTTTTAATTTCAATTCTTCCTCTTCGTGGAAGTATTGGAGACTTAGAGTAAAGAGAACATGTAACTCTTGTGAATCCACATTTATCCTTGAATTGAGATAACATTCTTTTATTTCAGTGCCACCAGTGATGTATCCGGCAAAGCACAAAGCAGAAATTCCACCCCCTTGGATACAGGAGAAGAAGCCTCTTAAGGGACTAGACAGTAAGCTGGGTCCTAACTACACAGACACTGAATTCCATTGCCACCTTGGCCGTGTTCCCCCGGTGACAAGGTCACTAATTGCTTCTGTTCATCAGTTTCCTCTTCTGTTATGTGGTGGGGACAATCCTAGTACCCTTTTATAAAGTTGTCTTAGAATATGCTCAATAAATGGTAGCTACTATTAAATTTTCTCTTTCTCCCTATTTAGGCTTTTACGATGTTTATTGAGCTCCTACTGTATACTGTTTTTCCTAAACATTTTATTTATTCCTTTCAGTCGAGTGAGATGATGCAGGAAACTTAGACACAGAGATCTAAAAGAAGTGGCTGAGGAATTCTGGGTAGTGAAAAGGTCTCCATTCCATGTCTGGTGTTCATTTCACCATACACAGGGGTTCTGTGTAATCTCTGAATTTTTTTTTGATAACCCTAAACCCTAACTTCCTTGTTAATATAACACTTGGATTCTTTCTGTTTCAAGTGCTTAAGTTTATGCCTTTCAAATCTTTTATGTATAGGCAGATCCTGTCAGTAGGTGAGAATCAGAAATTATAAATACTTTCCAGCAAAAATAGCGTGCGGGTGCAAATACTTATTTATCACAGCATGCTTCATATTAAAATATTGGACAGACAGCTTATTATTTTCTTGGCAAAGTGCTACGACTCCAGAAAAGGATTACAAAGTCCTCTTTCCCAATGTCACTTGTCTAAAATACTAATTGTCAGAGCACTCAGAAACCTCCTATTGCTTGTTAGAGCTTGTTTTTTTTTTTAAATTTTTATAATCAGAAAAAATATACTGTAATGTGCCAATCTGAATGCAAATTGCCTCCTTTTTAATTACATTATGGGTGTAAATTACCCCCAATGCCAAACATTTCTGCCTCGGATTCCATAACTCTGTGTCGCAATTACAGCTTCCATGGCTCCTTGCAATCTTATAGTGGAAACATGTGTAATAGCAATAATTATGAAAACCGCTTGTGATGTGAAGCACAATTTAAAACCTAGGATCATGGTTCTATATTTGAAATGTAAAATCCAACCCTGTCAAACTTCCAGCAACACCTAAATCTGAACAATTCTGTTCACAGGCTCAGAAATAAGAAATGACAAAGTTATTGAACTCAAAGACTAAGGCTCTGGGTACCAGTGAACAGGAGGCTATCTGCAGGTCGGGTGACCTTGGACTGCCCTTGGCTTGAGTTTGTTCATTTGCCCCGTGGGGATAATATCTGCTCTATCAAAATGAAACTACTTTTTCAGGGAGTACATGAAATTTTGCAGTAGTTAGGTGGTAAAGCCAAGGTGATGTAAAAGAGGCCCAAGAGCATAGTGTCTAAGAAAACTAAGATGCTTCTCCCTCTTTTGGTACTGATCCTGGGACTTACGTGGTCTGTTTGTTTTATGTTGTCATTTTGGAGTTCTAGATTCCTTGAAGCTTGTTTCTTGGGTGAATATTAAGGCCTTGACCTCAACCAATGGCCAGAAATGGGTTTTAAGCTACAAAAAGCAGGAAGAGAAAAACACTCCTTTTCTGGATTATTTTCAAGTCCAGGCTTGGAAGAGACACACATCATTTTTGCTTATCTGCCACTGGCAGGAACAAAATCACATGGATCAAGTAGATGCCCGGCAAGCGAGTAGGTGCACTGTCTGGCTAGGAAGCCTGGGCCCAACCATACTTCTATTGCTATAGAAGAAAAGAATAGATCTGAGTGAATAAAAACTAGTACTTCCTACTAATGTGACTTTTAATGTGTTTCTAAAGTGAAAGTCAACTAATATTTGTATTTCTTCCATGAGCCGGCAGTGTGTACACCTTATTTTATTATCTCAATAGCCCTACCAGGTCGATACTCTTTTAATGCAAAAGAAAATAAAGCTGTAAAGATATTTCACATTTAACCAAGTTCCAAGGGCTCACACTGGCAGAGCTGGGGTTGGAAATGCATGTATCTGATGTGAAGCAGGGTGCTCCCCACCACACCGAGATTCAGAAGGGAGCCATTAATGAGTAGACTGGGCCAGAGGCCACCACACTTGGAACTCTGATACTGTGGGGCATCCTGTTCTCATCCATGACTCACCAGCTACCCCAAATCTGTCCACGAGGCCACAGCTGCATTTCTGCCTCCTCAGGAGGACTTAATGGCCTCGACCCCCCTCTTCTTTAAGTGGCTCAGAACCAGGTATAAATGTTTAGTGATGATTCTGGTTCCTCTTACTTTTTTGTTGAGCATGTGAATAAATCGTGTCCCTACAGTAGGACTTTGGGCTTCTTAAAGGCAAAATCACTTCTTAATGTGAATTTACCCTCCCATCTCCCTCCAACAGTGTGTTGAACCATAGCAGGTAACGTAGATGCTTTGTGAACAGATATGTATGTCTATACAGAAATAAGTGGAATCGGAGAGAGCGTCACTCTTTCCTTCCCCTGTTTATGCAGACGGGATGCAGCAACATTAACTTTATGGAGCCCGTTGTAATTGAGAACAGTGATAGCATGATTATGCATCTCAGCATTTTATATGCACAGTCGTGGGAAAATAATGTTTGGTGATCTTATGGTACACTGGAAAGTAAGGTGAGAAAAAGTGAAAACTACCTCTCCCTTTTATTGATCTCTTTCAATCAATATGTAGAGAAGAGTTGATTCTGACCTTTTCGATCCCAAAGGAAAATCCTTTTCTTGGGGTGCCGTGTGAACCACATGCCGGGCTTTACAGGCTCTCATCAATTTCATTGATTGCCCTTTTGATTTTACTTGCTGCTGGGCTTCAGCTTAAATCATGCATTGAATCTGCTTTATGCTGATTTGCATAGACAGGGTGAAAAGGGAAGCAAGTCCTTTGCCGACTGATAGTGTTTGTTGGGAATAATTGTGGGAAGTTTGAAATTCTGGTTGGAGAGGAGGTTTCGGGGGGAGACCTTACAGACTTACTGGTATCTTTCAAGGTACCTGTCCATTCCTGGGTGGCAAGGACAGTTGAAATGAGTTCAGATTATGTATGATCTCTGAATTCAAAGTGCAGTCCTCAATATCTGGGGTGATTTCTTCTTGGCTTGTAACTCAGTTATTTTAGAAAAATGTGTGTGGGTTCTCGTTAGGTGGTAAAAATAGCAACTGTGTCACATGTCATTTTTTCTTAATTAAGCATTTATATCCAAAGTGCTTTGGAAGCACTCAGATTCCTTGTCACTGACAATGTGTTTGCAAGCCCTATCTGTGAGTGTTGGAACCCTACCTTGGAGAGAGAGGCAGAGGTTGATTAAACAGTATTTCAAAGTACTGGGTGAGTGGGGATTGGAACCATTTCTAGGCCCTACTTCTTGTTTGCCCTTGTTGGCATTGCTCCAAAAACATCAATGGAAGAAAATGGTAGAGTCCGAGGAAGGACACGTTCTTTGACAAGTTCATGGAATCTAGACCCAGTGACAACAAAATTGGTTCTTGGTAGATGGAAATTAACTTTGCTCTGAAACATGCTGTCAAGAGGAGGCTTCATATCTGAGTTAAAATTAAATGTTTTCTTGGGTGGGTAAATAAAAAGCTACTAAAAAAGGTAGTATTATCTATCTCTTGGTATACATTGCTCCCTGGAATCCAAGGAAAGATCCAGAAACACTCTGAGTTGTTACTTATTTTATTATTTTCTATTCAGTTTATCATAATAATCCTCTTATCAGAGAATTATTTCCTTTGCTGCAAAGAATTATTTCTTTGGTTCTACTTTTGATAATCGTTCACCATCTTTTGGGATAAGTTGTAGCTCTCCAAATTAAACATTTCTTCAATTTTTCTAGTGCCTTATACCCTTTCTTATCCTGGCTCAATTAGGTCACTAAAGACAAATTTTCTCCCTGATCCATGGTTATTTGAAATTTCAGCCACATCATTGCTCAAATCATTTCCAAAAGGACTTGTCAATTTCATCTTGATCAACTTTTCTCCATTCACTCAAACCTGTGAGTTGCCCTTGAAGAGATGGTGGTGGGGTGGTGGGGTCCTGCAATGATTCAAATGTGGGCTTGGGCTGTGGGTTTTTCCCTTAGGCCCCAGGGTGGAGAGTTCAGAATGCACCCAGCAGAGATCTCAATATTGTCACACAGTTTTTTTTTTTTTGAATATAAATAAAAGCTTAACTCAGATTTTAAGAGCAATGAAGTAGAGAGCCTTCCTGCAATCAAAGCAGTGGCTACCCCACTTTCTTTTATAAGAAACTAGACATTGTGGTCGTTATCAGAAGATCAGAAGTGAGACCCAGCCTCCATTCTGAAGTGACAGTGGAGACACACATTGCCAGGTTGTCAGGTGGGGCTTCTGAGCCTGGGAGCAGGTACACAGGAAGGTGGATTGGGATTGGGACACTGTGTGTGCATCCACTTCCTGCTCCAATTGACACGGTCAGGGCAGTGTTGTTCTCGTTCTCCAGATTTGAAAACTGAGGTTTCAAGATGTGTGTCACAGCTTTAAATCACAGGGCTGGTGCGGGATCCCAGTGCGCTCTTCCTGGCTCCGTCTTTCACCGTAGTTCACCAATCCGGGTAGGTCTCTAGGGTCAGCATGACAGAAAAACACACAGGTGGGTTTCCCCGGGGTCTTCCTGTGTGCCCGGAGCCTCAGCCCCCTAAGTCCTTCTGTTGGAATCCAACAGCACTGGAGAGGGTGAGCGGGTGTGAGTGGGGGCATGTGGCTGGGGGCGTGGGCCAGGGAGGCGCGTTTGAGATTGTGCATTCACTTACCAGAGGAGCTCCTTCCTCTCCTGACCAAGTCACCTGCCTTTCGACTTCTACCTTTGTGTGATGAGACCCTTGGCTAAGAATGCTCTCCCCAGTGAGGGTCCCGAGGGTGACGCGTGCTCAGGTGTGATGCCAGGTGCGTTCCCGCCATCTGGTGGGCAGCTTCACGGGTTGCTTCTCTTCTCCCAGGATTATGACGTTTTCCTAGGTCTCTGGGTTGGAAGAGACCTATGCTGGATGCATTTTGACCTCTACACCCAGGGGCCCAAGCAAAAAACCCCACAGTCCAAACCCAACATTTGAATCACTGCAGGACCCCGGTGAAGGGCAACTCACAGGTTGATTGAGTGAATGAAGTCTAAGGAGAGAAGAAAAGATGGTCAAGACGAAACTGATGAGTCATTTTGGAAATGATTTTAGCAATGATGCGACTTAAATTAAACATTGGGAGTTCCCAC